TGCCTCTTGAGGCACAATCTGCAGGGTTGTGTTCGGAGGCAACGTGTATCCAGTGTGCTGATGGTAAGACCTCTTGTACGTCGGCGACGCGATTCGCCACGAACACTGACCAGCGGCTTGGATCTCCTTGCAGCGACGCTAACGCTACCAGTGAGTCGGTTCACGCATACAGCCTTTCGAGTTTGGCGCCAAAGCTTGATTGCACCTGTCGAACTAGCTTCGCACCCAGATGTGCCGCACATAGTTCCAACCGCGGCAGCGATGCATTTTTCAAAGGAGCAACCCTTGTTTTCGCAGCGATCAACACTACGTTCACATTGTCGTTGGAAGTTAGTGTTCGACAGTAAACAGCGGCTGCATACACAGTTTCGGAAGCATCTGTGAAGACGTGGAACTCAGCATCTGCAATGGAACTAGTGCCAATCCAGCGACTTAGTTTAAGCGACAAAAGTGCAGCCAGCTCCTCTCAGTGAGTCAACCATTCGACAGCTACGCCAGGTGGTACCAACTCGTCCCAGTCCACATTCGATCGCCAAACCTTCTGCAGCCATATTTTGGAGCGGAATGCACAAGGGGCGATTAGTCCAAGCGGGTCTAATATTTTACTCGAGTCGGAGAGGAATACACGTTTTGTTAGCCTTTTCGGCGGCTCGTCCAGATTAAATCCGATCGAAAGGGAGTCGTTGTCTGTATGCCAGATACAGCCCAGAGTGCGGATATCATTTCCGTCAGCCAGCAGATGAGATGTTTGCTTCGACACATGCGGTATTTGATCTCTTAACGCTTGGAAATTCGTTGCCCACTTTCGGAGCTCGAAGCCGCTCTAAGAGAGCACGAGAGAAACATCCCTTTGAAGCGATGATAACTCATGAAGCGAATCCGAACCGGTAAACAAATCATCCATGTAGAAGTCGGATCTAACGACTTCAGCGGCCTTCTGATAAGCGTTGCCTGCATACAATGCTGCGCGGTGTAGCGACTTCACGGCGAGGTGCGAAGCGGCGACCACCCCATAAGTCACCCTTAGAAGGCGGTAGTCACGCAATGGCTCTGAAGAGTGTTCACGCCACAAAATACGTTGGTAGTCAATATCCTGCTCAGAAACGTAGACCTGCCGATACATTTTCTCGATGTCAGCAATAAGACCGTAGCGATGCGTGCGAAAGCGAATCAATATTGAGAAAAGATCTTGTTGTAGCTGAGGGCCAACCATTAGAGCGTCGTTCAGAGAATGGCCGGACGATGTCTTCATGGACGCATTAAACACAACTCTAAGATTAGTAGTGGCACTCGTATCCTTGACCACTGCATGGTGCGGCATGTAGTAGGTAGCTTGAGTGGCTTCACCAATCGGAACTTCCTTTTTAAGCGGCTAGCGTACTATGAAGCGACCATCTTCCGCACGCTGTGTTGTATTGTCATATACATTGTCGAGTAGGGCCCGTGCGGGTTGCCAACGACCAGCGTGGTCTTCCAAATAAACTTCAGCGGTGGCCAATAAAATAATGCATTCAGCATCAGCATAATACGACGTAACATTTACGGTTTGTCCGGTTTCGTTGTTAGCAGGTACGGCCTGTTGGTTGTTAAAGCTAGCGTGCAGTAGCGAGTGATGTCGACGTTGGCATATGCGACATGATGATGGACTGCGACATTTTGTGATGACATGCCCTTACTAAGGCAGTTTAAGAAGGCACCTTGAGCCTTTATGGTTGTTAGCTTGGGATTTGCGTCGAGCTGACTGAATTTCGAACAGGAATATATTCTGTGCTCACCTTTGCAGTACGTACAGGCTGCTGCTTTAGCGCTATCTGACGATGCCTGACTCTGTGGTTCGGTTTGGCCGCACGTTGTATGAAGAACGTTCTTTGCGGTTGTCCTTGCGTTGTGAGGAACTGCTGGCACCATTTCCGAAGACCGAGTTCGAGTTTTGAGAAAGTCACGTAGCGCGGCGAATGTCGGCAAATCGTCGGCTACAAGCGATAACTCCCATTGCTTGCGAGTCTCGTATGCTAATTTCGACACGGTTAGGTGGACAAGCCAGTCATCCCAAAACTCAACCGGCCGCCCGAGTGCACATGGCGCCCCAACATGCTGCAAGGTTAAATTAAGCACATGTTTGATAGCCTTAGCAGAGTCCTTTGTTGCTTTTTCATTCGACGTTAAAGCTTTTATATGGCTGTCTACTATGACCCGCATGACCTTTTAGCGTGAGGTCAGCAAGTCCCAGGCCTCACTGTAGTTGCTGTCACTCACTGCTAAACAGCTTACCAACTCCAGTGCTTCGCCCTTTAATCAGTTGCGGAGATACTGTCAGCCCGATTCTGAATGACAACTCTCGGGGAATTTTTTCTCTTTTCCCTTTCCTCCTATTCTGAATGGCATATGTCGGGGATTTTTTTCTCTTTTCCTTTTCCTCCAATTCCAAATAAACTTCGAAAATGGGAATTTGTTTCTCGCGTAAAAAGTAGCTATTACGAATGTGAAAAAAGGGAGATTGTGTTGACATTTTTGGAGAATTTTTCCGCTAAGAAATTTAAAGAGAGTCCTTATCAAAAATGTAAGTAATTAAATTTTTGCATAATAAATGGAATATTTATTATTATTTACTTTTATTAAAATGATTACTAATAACATTATTATTACACCCAGGTCAAAAACAACCAATAAACATCAGATCGAGCTGCTTTTAAGTCGTATGCAAGCGCACCCAGACATTGCGCGCGGTTTTTTTAAAGGCCAGAAGGACGATGTTAACAAGTTTTGGCGCCAGGTGGAAGAGGATTTAAACTCAGCAGGGCCACCAATGAAAAATGTGTGCGAATGGAAAAAGGTAATGATGATAAGCTACTTGAGGGTATAAGAATTAAAAGTGCAATACATATTTCAGGTTTGGGCTGATCAGAAAAAATACGTACGGCGAAAGGCGGCCCAAAATCTAAAAGCCAGCAAAGGAACTGGTGGAGGACCCAACATGGAACAAAAATTGTCGCCTACTGAAGAAGCCATATACGAGTTAGTTGGGATGAAGGAATCTGTGGAGGGTGTATCAAATACACTCAAGTTTGGCCTTTAAAGTCATGTGACAAAGTCACCTGCAGATAATTCCACAGCAGAGAATGATATACTCGATAGCACTATTGAAGAACTTGAGGAAGTTACTCCGTATCAGCCGCCAACGAAAAAAAAACGCAACACTCCGCAAGGCGAGCCAAAAAAGCAAAATAGCTATACTAACGATATGTTTGTACAGGAAATCGGTGTGCAGAAAGAGGTGTGTGAGTCAATAACAGAGGCTGTGACGGGTTTAAAGGACCAAAAGGAAATTACAAAAAAAATTTATCGCTCCCTTGATCGGATTTATGACGTTCAAAAGCAAAATTTTGAAAAAATGTTTCAACTAGAACAGGAAAAAGTGGAAGAAATGAAGCGACATAATTTATTTATGGAAAAACTTAGACTTAGTGAAGTGGAGAGTAAAATAGAGAGAAATCGTCGTCTATTGGAGATAGAAGATTTAAAGGGCAATATTAAATAATAAGAATGTGAATAAGTGTGAATCAGACTGAATTTTTTTTTTTTTTTTGAAGTTTTGTTTAAGTTTTGTTTTTAATGTACATACATACAGTCATGTGAAAAATAATACGGACACGACATTTTGACCAGTATTGCTTATTTTTCTTTTGTTTGTTTAATGATTATAATTTTTTTTAATACAGCTTATATTTTAACAAAAACCATCGGTCTAAATTTTAAACTTTGTAGAAAAATAAGAAAAATTGAACAAATTTTTACATCAAACTTTGTAAACAATTTTTAAAAAAATTCTAAATATGCATTTTTGTAGTCCATTAAATTCTATCTCATTAAAACGCAACTTTCAAGTGGCTAAGACTTGGCGTTGATTTTTGATAATTTGATAAAAATTCTTTAAAAAGTTTGATGTAAAAATTTGTTCCATTTTTCTTATTTTTCTACAAAGTTTGAAATTTAGACCGATGGTTTTTGTTAAAAAATAAGCTGTATTAAAAAAAAATAAAATCATTAAATAAACAAAAGAAAAATAAGCAATACTAATCAACATGTCGTGTCCCTATTATTTTTCACATGACTGTACGTACATACAGTGATGGAAGGAATAATATCAACTTTTTATTTTGACCAGTTTTGGTTATATTTCCTGTGGTTATTTAATGTTTAATATACACAGGTACACACTACTATGTACTATGTACATAAATATGTACTTTGTTAAGGACTGAATTTGTTGTTTTTGTTCTTTTTATTAAAAAACTATTTATAATAAAAATGGTTCTTATTGCTTTTGCATTATAAAAATCGTATTTTCATTTATTTTATTCATTTGTTTTCCAATTTCATTTAATTGTTTATTTTTAATTAATTTTATTAAAAAATACATAGCCGATAGCCCCAGCAGCTAGCGCTACCTTACTGTTTAAATTTATGTGGAATTTTTTCGCAGAATTCTATAAGTTCAGCCCGATATCGCTTCGTACTCTCTGCGCTGCATTTATATACTGCGGTTGTGTTAAAGCGTTTTGCTCGCTGAGGTCACTGCAATCGTCCATTGTCGGTTCATAATTTGCAATGAAATCTGCTTTGTAATGTATACAAATGTTGTGTATTGCACAACAAACATTGACAATTTTTGCCGCCTTCTTTGGAGTGTAATGGAGCTCTCTCGCACCGAGAAGACACCTCCATCTACCCTTTAACACACCATTTGTGCGTTCAATTACGTTGCGGCACTTCGAGTGCACTTCATTAAATCTACTTTCAGTAGAGCCTTCGTTTGGAACCCTGTGTGGTGTCAAGAGCCATGGCTCTAAAGGGTAACCAGCATCTCCTGTTAAAATTTGTTATAATATTAATTATAAGCAATATTTATATATTTTTTAATTTTAAAGTTTTTACCTAGTAGCCAAAAGTTGGTTACTCCTCGCAAGTAATCCTGCTCAAAGTGTGCTCTTAAATCGCTTGTATTCCAAATAAAGGAATCGTGGGAAGCACCGGGGTGGGATGCATCCACGTAGCGGACTTTTAGTTCATGATCGCAGAGCTGTAAAAAGTGAATACCTATACCTATATGTAATAAAAAATCGACATCTATTGAAAAAACTTACAAGCATCACATTTAAACTGTAATTTCCCTTTCTATTATAGTAAAGATGTTTATTTTCAGTGGGTGCTATGATTCGCACATGCGTTCCATCAATGCATCCCATTACACCGGGAAAGCCATGCCTTACATATAAAGCTTGGGCAATTTTTCTTTTTTCTTCGGCTGTCTTTGCTACTTGAATCCACTTTGGGCACAGATGCTTCTCAAAGATTTCCAGCACTTCAGTAAGAATTTTGCTTAAACTAGACTGTGCTACGGAAACGTCGTGGTCCTTACCGACTCCCGTTTGGTAGCCACCTTCAGCAAAGAAGCGCAATACTCCACTCAGCTTTACTATGGGGGAAACGGCGAACTGTTTTTTGGCTGGCAGAACGTGCGTCGTCAAAACTTCCAACAAATATTGAAACGCGGCCTTATTTACCCTATAATATTTCACAAATCTAAAGAAATAACACTTAGTAAAAGTACAAAAAAATACATTTTTTATTTACAAGGAGTCCGGCAATTCTAGCGGATTCGCCTGGTCACGCAAATTTCTTCTTGCTACTTTTGGTGGAACCATTTCTTGCTCCTCTTCGTGCATTAAAAGCCGGAAAGCAATGCTAAACATGTTTTTTTTATCGAAAATTTACACTTTTACGAGAATTTTTGTAAACGCAGTTGATATTTACATTTGATTTGAAATGTCAAAAGCGAGCAAACAGCTGATTTCGAAAATTCGAAGTTCTTTTCCCTAATTCTGCTTTTCCCGGTAAGTATGGAATAGGAGGATTTTTTTTTTTGGGAAAAAAATTCTGGAGAATATTCAGAATCGGGCTGTGTATGTTCTGTCCGTCCGTCAGACTTGCATTGGAATTGACGAGCGAACAAAAGGCGTCATGAAAGGTGAGCCATTCGGTGGGATCGCCACTAAATGATGGTAGCTGCAGCTTCGGAAGCGGCATAGGTGCTGGCGTAGTTTGAGTGGCTTGAGGAGTAGGTATCTTGAGCGGAGCAGTAAGGCGTTTAAAATTCGCCTTGGCGATAGCATACCACTGCTCGCCTTGAATGCGAGATTGCTCCTCCATCTCGACGTTTTCTTCGCCGCACGAGAGCTCTACCTCTTGTTGGGCTTCACAAAACCGTCCCCTTTTTTCCTCCAACAACTGTAAGTACGTAGATACAACCTCTACGTCGACTGAAAGCTCATCAGATTTCCTCGATTGCAAATAGCGTTTTATTGCTTTTAAAGCGGAATCGCGAACTTTAAGCGACGACATTTTGCAGATGCGGTAAAATTTTGTTATATTAAAATAACGCGGTGTGGACTGTATACAACGAAAATATCGCGGTATTCGGGTTGAAGGACCACTTTGGTGCGGATAAATAGCGTTTACGGGTTTATAAGCAGGGAAATTAAGTCGATTACCTGGGATTAAAAATGATACACGCCCAATTTGCTTAAAGCTGAAATTAGTCAAGAACGTAAACCTACCGGTACGTAAACCCGAGTCAGCTGACACGATCTGTCTTACCAAAGCGCCATGTAAATGAAAACTCAACACCGCAGAATTTTTCTGTAGTTGTAGCCCGTAGCGCAGAAATCTGCGGAATTTAGATTTTTCCGTGTCAGCTGATTTCTCCTTCTTTAGATGGTTGCCACTTCGTCAGTTTTGCAGATGGTAAAAAAGTTATAAGTTCCTATTCGAAATATGTTTAAAATATTTGAAATTTACTATTAAATAAGGTTTTTGTTGAAAACTAAGTAGTTTATATTTAGTTACAATCTATTATAGCACGAAAAATTGTGGTTGAAAGGGTAAGTTTATGAAAAGGCATTGAAGAGTGGCAACAGTGTAGTAAGCAACACTGAGGGCTCCAGTAATCGACAAAATTCTGCGTATACAGACTGCGTTTAAGTATACGTTCTGCGTTCTCGACTAATTTCAGCTTAAATCCATTTAATAGAAGGGAAGTAGAAAGGATGTCAAGTTTGACAGCTTACAAACAGTGCTGCCAAACCAGACATAAGCTTAAGGTCTAATTGCAAATAGCGTATTAGGCGCGAACAATTACTGTGTTATACATATGAAAGTGCTACAAAAATACAGAATACATACACTTAATATTGTACTTTGAAATCTGTAAGAAAACAGATAGATTTTAGGTTCAGATATTTTGATTCGCAAATAAAAACAAAGAATTGTACTGCTTTTGCATAAAATAACTGCTCAAAAGCCCAATAAGTAAATATTTTTAGATTTTTCTCAAATCTAAGACGAAAACACTTCCATCAGATGCGCTGGCTCCCACTTTAGTACCTTTGGAGTTCCAACACACTTCGAATATTCCTCCCGTGCCTTTATAACTGTGTACCAACTGCCCGGACTGGGTACTCCAAATGTGCACGCACTTATCGAAACTCCCTGAAGCTAAATATTTGCCATCAGGGCTGAATGCAACGGAATACACTGGTTCCGTATGCTTCGTAAGCGTATGTATGCAACTGCCACGGTCTACATCCCATAATCGTACAGTCGAATCAAACGATGCAGATGCTAATATCAGGTTTGTGTTCGGATTTTGTGTACCCGGACCAGTAGGAGACCATTTTATTGTGTAAATTTCTTTTGAATGTGCTTGCAGGTCATGACAACATTTATCTTGTTTCATACTCCAAATTTTCAGAGTCATATCGTCCGAGCAAGAAGCAAGTAAGTGACCCTGTGGACACCATTTTATAGCATTCACCTCGTTGGTGTGCCCTTTAAATGTTTTAATTGGCACATCTGAACCCAACCGGCAGACATGAATACGCTGATCCGTACTGCATGAGGCAAAAGATACATTAGTCTGCCAATCAACATCAAGTGCAGGAGCATTATGAAAAGAAAATTGCTGAGTGCATTGCCCTGTGGAAGCGTCCCAAATAATGGTTGTTTTATCTACGCCAGCCGAGAGAATAAAGTTGCCGCGTTTATTCCATTTTAATGCAAATATTGGACCTTTGTGCTGCCCTAGTGTCGATGCTAAGCGGCCATCGGTTTTCCAAATTCTTGCGTACCCATCATAACTGCCGGTGGCCAACAAAGTGCCATCACACTAAAATATACATTAAAAATTGAAAAATGAAAAATCAGTAATTTTGCACAACTCACGTTCCAATCTAAAGACGTTACGTCCTTGTTGCTGGGAACTTCAGCACCACCCTTTTGAATACAATGCCGCAATACCAATTGATTGGGGCTAGAAGTTGCGTCAGACATATCCCAAATACGCGCGGTACTATCACCAGAACCACTTGCCAATAAATCACGACTGGGGTTCCAAGCGCAAATGAATACCTCGCTTTCATGCCCGCGCAAAACAGTAGCTTTGGAGGCTGGTATTTCAATACTTTGATCAATATCCATGGGCTCTACAGCTCCTGCCACTGCTCCACTATTAGAAATTTGAATCTGTGTCATGGCATCAGAAGTAGAATTTGTATTAGTTGTGCTGCCAGTGGCCGTTGTTGTGGCACCACTACTGGAAATATTTGTGCTTGTTGTTACTCCAGTTGTTGAAACACCAGCAGATGCCGTTTCGTTTACATTGGTATTGGCTGCAGCATTATTGTTGTTATTGGCAGTAGCGCATTGTGTAGATTCGTCCGTGGAAATTGAGCTGCCGGTTGTTCCTTCAGTCCCATTTGCCTTCTTATTTCCTGTAACAGTGTTGTCGGCACCTGTGCCAGCTGTAGAATTGGCCGCTGCTGTTGATGTGCTCGCTGTCCCTGTATTACCGGCAGATGAATTTGTATTTCCATCTGTTTCATTCGAGTCTATAGAAGTCGTTGCAACTCCACTTGCAGTTTGCTCATTTGTTGTAGCTCCAGCTGGGTTGCTTTCAGCTTTAACTTCTGCTTTTACCGCACTACTTGTTGTAGTGGCTGATGCAACAACACTACTACTGTCGGCACCCGCTTTACCTGGCTCCGACTTTACGGTTGGTGGTTTTGGCGGTTTTACTTCGGGCATAACCGCATCTATTAGACTGAGCCCTTCAACAGGTCGCCCAATCTCACCATCTTCGCCGACACTCCACTCGACTTCAGTATACATTAGACCTTTTTGAAGGATAGTTAGAAGGGCAGCTGGCGGAACCAATGCGCCATTTATGTTGCTCTGTGAAATATGTGACTCAAC